TTAGAACTGATTCATGCAGATTAACATCACTTTATTATTTAACATTATTAGACGAGAAATGGTGGTACACATGAGAGATCTGGGTTAGCTTGCATAATAAAAGGAAGAAAAATTCCAGTCTTGAACTAGAAGACTAGGGGCATTGATGTTCTCAAAATATTTGAGTGGTTTTATTAAAGAGGTGTATTAAGACTTAGATTGTGAATGCTAAGATGACTGGCCTTTAAAATTTCTACTAAGTGCATTTGTTGATTAAGGAATATGTGCTTTACTTAAATGATCTTTTACAGCCTGGAAAAAGCCAAACTTAAATGTTCATTGTAGGAGATTTAGAAAATGCAGTAGAACTATGGAAGTGATAGTAAAGGTTAATCACAAGCAAAGTACCCAGAGAACATTTAAAAAGTATTTTTATGTATTTCTGTCCTGTCTTTCCTAAGGACATAATTTTTATGTAGTTGATATATACCTCAAATTATGTATTTTACATTTTTATGTATTGGCCTTTTGACTCAAACTATTTATTATAATTCCCACACAATTTAAGGTTATTTGTGTTTTTTAAAGACCATAATTGCTGGTAATTTGAATAGTGGGTGTTAAAAATCTATTCCAAAAATTCATATAGAACATTACCAAATACTGCAGATCCGTAATAAAACAAAAAGCAAAAGTTGACACATTGTGCAGCTGGCTTTCACACTTGAAGTCTGATGTATTTTCAAGGTTGTATGTACCACTTGGATTTAGGGTGGTTTTTTTTGCTGAATATTGATCAGGGCAGTCCTTCCCTACCACTTATTTTTAAAAAGGTAGAAGAAATTGATCTGTCCTATCTACCCTTTAGAATTATTCCAATCTGTGACCCATGAGGCAGCCTCAGATGAACTCATTAAAGTTTATTTCTTTTACTCTCAAAGAAAGAAAAGCTTAATGAGTTATGAAGGAAAAACCATTAGAATTACTTCCCAAGAGTAGACGATACACACTTCGGAATTATGCAATGAATAATCCACAAAACATTATGGACGTAAATGGAGTAATGTGTTTAAGGAAAGAATATCTGATCCAAGGATATTATACTCATCAAACCTGTCTTACCACTCTAAAGGGCACAGGCAAAGTTAATGACATGCAAGAACTGAGGAACTGTTGTCATGGGTTCCTTCTGAGTAATATTAATATATCAAGAGTGAAGGTTGATTTTGTACTACCTAGGGAGATAGTGTAGTTTAAGCATCATAACATCACAAAAAGGCAGTGCCACCTGTAGTCTGCTGGTTTGCACATGAGTCTGAGCAAGTCTGATCCAGCTGCCACTTTCAGGCAGTGAAGGGACAGATGAATATGGAATTAATAATAACTAGGAGTATGGAATTCTGGAAGATACAGACTAGGAATCTACAGTTCAAATATACTGGATTCTTCAACATATAAATTTTAAGTTAATGTGACAGAAGAGGAACTTAGCTAAACAGCCTTGAAGATATCAAATTTATTTTACTGGGAAGATTATAATGTTAAGGGGTAAGTGTTCAGGCAGTAGAGTTATTTTACAATACAAAAGTGAGTACTAGAGAAGTCTGGACAGTAACTTGGAGGGAGGAAGGGATTGAGAATGGAATTGAGCACATGTTTCTGAGGTACTTTGGAGATTTCATGGGGACTAAGCTGCTGTATCATCTTCATACCTTTTTATTCCCTTGTGCTCATCCACTACTGGAAAAACTCTTCCTAGTTGTAACTGCTTTTCTTAAAATGGGTTCCCTTTGTTTTCCAGTAAGTACCAGCTGATTGGGGGTTATTCTTTTTCTAGGTCTTTTTGTCTCCCAAGTTGCTGCTTGCTGCTTGTTGCTTCTCCCACAGTCAGTGATACTGTGCATTTTCGCTGTTGGCTTGCCCTTAACCAACTTGGATTTTGGAGTTTTGTTGTAAACATTCATGAGTTTTGGATTTTTTTTTTTTTTTTTTTTTTTTTTTTTTTTTTTTTGCTATCTGAAGCGCTTGTTCTGTTGGGAGTCAGAAATGGCTCTGCTATTGCTTTCTTCCAGGAATCCTAGTTCTTCAGTATTTTCTTTATATTTAGGATATTGGCCATCTTTCTCTCCTGTGGAGAGTTCTTCATTTAAGATACTTTTCTTAATGAGACCAGAGATTGTTTGGTACTTTTAAACTTTGAGAAATATTCCCTCCTCAATAAAATTTTAAAACGGCAATACCGCTAGAATATAGGTTTTAAGGACCATTTCTGTTAATGTTTGTTCCCTGAAGTGGCCCTGGTAGCTGGTACCTAAAGATAGTAAATGTTCAATGAAAAAAAAATGAATTAATTTGTAGTGACTCATTGTTAATTTTTTAGGAGTACATGTTTCTAGGAGTGGGATTAATGGATCTTTGTGTGCCTTTCTGTTTTCACTGTTGCCTCTATCTTGATTACATTAAATCTAGCCAAGCTTTTGGAGTTGGGATTATTTTTAGTTTCATGATTTTTGTAGCAAATTTGGAGATGGCAGCCATTTTCAGCATCTTTTTTACTTGTATACCTGGATGCTTCTCCACTAACCTTTTGAAATATGAAGTTCCTTGAGAGAATTAAGCCCAAATACTCCCAAGTAACTTTTCATATGTAAGAATTCTATAATCTAAATTGGTACTGTGTATTATACTTGGGAAGATAGAGAAAATTGTTACGTAAAAATGGATACATATATTATATAAAATGGATATACAGTATACATTTTTTTATATGTAGCTTAGAGGTTACCCCGTTGAATGGATAGTTCAGTGTCTGGTTTGGTGGGTTTTCCTTTCTGTTCAGCATGCTGGGGGCATGTATAGCCTCCTTTCCTCCCAGCAGGTAATTTCTCATTAAAGCCAGGGAGATTTTATGAGCAAATGTTAGCATTGGAGGAAGGAAAAAAAAAGTAATTAAAAAATTAAGATAAATAATTTTTTAAAAAGCCAGGGAGATTTTATCTATGTTTTTATCTATATCAATAGTTTTTTTTGTTTATTTGTGTTGGGTTTTTTTTGAGATAGTCTCACTCTTGCCAGGTCTAGAGTTGCCGTGGCCTCAGTCCAGCTCACAGCAACCTCAAACTCCTGGGCTCAAGCAGTCCTGCCTCAGCCTCCTGAGTAGCTGGGACTACAGGCAAAGGTCACCATGCCCAGCTAATTTTTTCTGTGTATTTTTTTTTTTTTTTTTTTTGAGACAGAGTCTCACTTTGTTGCCCAGGCTAGAGTGAGTGCCGTGGCGTCAGCCTAGCTCACAGCAACCTCAAACTCCTGGGCTCAAGCAATCCTCCTGCCTCAGCCTCCCACGTAGCTGGGACTACAGGCATGTGCCACCATGCCCGGCTAATTTTTTATATATATATATCAGTTGGCCAATTAATTTCTTTCTATTTATAGTAGAGACGGGGTCTCGCTCTTGCTCAGGCTGGTTTTTTTTGAACTCCTGACCTTGAGCAATCCGCCCGCCTCGGCCTCCCAAGAGCTAGGATTACAGGCGTGAGCCACAGCGCCCGGCCCATTGCTTACTTTTTAAAAAGTATAAGAACTACTGTTTGTAAAGGTACAATTTAGAAACCAAGATAAAGACATACTTTCTTGAATTTCAGAAAGATTTGAAAGGAAGAGAAGTTGCAGCTTTTAAATTGTACTATCTGTTAAATAAATGTGTTTTAAGGTTCAGAATGGTAGGGATTCTACATAAACTATTTATACTATATGTTTTATTACATAGAAAAATGTATACATAAGAAGTTTTTACATTATCCACCAGAACTAATTTGTCATGATTTACTTGAGCATTGGAAGAGTAACAAATACCAGACACTGGTATCTTTTTGATTTGAGGTTCATCAGTATTTTCCAAGGGGGTGAAGGAGAAATAAATCTTATGAATGTTGCACTTCAAATCCTGTTAAGATTAGGGATTGGGATGGGAAATGGCAGCACACTTAAAAGTTAAGAGAATCAAATAAAACCATTTTCACTTAAAAAAGAAAGAAGATGGTATCAGTCTCCGTGTTCTGATAGGACGGAGCCTCATCACATACATAAAGATGGATAATTTTTGGTTTTAAACAATCCATGGAAGGTTGTTATTTTCTTTCTTAGTTCCTTTGATCCTCTTTAATTATATGCAGTGTTTCACTGGCTAGTTTTATCATCATCACCATCTGATAATATTAAATGTTCTAGCTGTATTGTAGGGTATAATGTAAAAAGGATTATAGTCAATGCAGTCTATAAAAAGATGGTATTAATACTTATATATTTACAACATACTATGCAAATCAATTGAAGTGTCTGGAAATAGTATTTCCAGAGGAACTGAGTTGATTCTATTTATTGCCTTCATATACGAAAATTATACATACAGGGTAAGTGTAAGCTATCCACATTCATCTAGCTAATGAAATGGTTTGGGACAGAATTTGGAGTTTTGTATTTTTTGGGAGAATGAGTGAAACTCATTTGAATAGAAGTACTGTGTAAGAAGATGGCATTATTTAACTAATAAGAACAGATACTACACTTGATCTTAGCCAAAAGGCCGAGAAGCTATAGAAGATGGCATTATTGATGGCTAAGAATGGTTAGCATGACTGGGAATGTGGAAAACAAATAAATTGGTATTAGAGAATTTGATAGTGGGGATTCTAATTGTGGATTTCAAAATAGAGAAAGGTCACTTGGAATTAACAATGTCCAAGAGGATTATGTTGCCAATAATCTCCAAGGGAGGATTTTTTTCCCCCCTTAAAATTGATAGTTTACCACTACTGAAATAGAATGGTGAGGAGGAAGTTGAATTTCTCTAAGGATGTATTCAGGGGCTTGTCTCCGAATAATAACATACATCCTGCTGTGAGAGCCCTTTAAGTTGACTGATACTCTGCAGTCACAATGGTTCAAAATGAGAGTAGATGAAGCTTATCAAGGAATATTGTTTTTAGCACTTATTCACCTGAATCCTATTTTTTTCCTTCTAGTTTTTTGGCTTCGTGAGGAACCTTATCATCAAACGCAATGGCTAGCAATGTCACCAACAAGACAGATCCTCGCTCCATGAACTCCCGTGTATTCATTGGGAATCTCAACACTCTTGTGGTCAAGAAGTCTGATGTGGAGGCAATCTTCTCGAAATATGGCAAAATTGTGGGTTGCTCTGTTCATAAGGGCTTTGCCTTCGTTCAGTATGTTAATGAGCGAAATGCCCGGGCTGCTGTAGCAGGAGAGGATGGCAGAATGATTGCTGGCCAAGTTTTAGGTAAGATCTATGTTGAGTGAATTATTTTATTGATGTTATAATTCAGGCCTGAGTTTTTCTGTTTGTGTTTCTCTTTCGGTTTCTCCCCTCCCCCCTTGTACAATCATTTTCTCTGTATCTTTCCCTTTCTATAAAGCTAACAGTGTGAGACATTCTGAATGCTGTGAATTCAGCCTAATAAAAATATTAGGCTTATGGGTATAATGGGCTAGATAGAGGATATTTTTGTTTCACATTGTGTGAAAGAGCCTGGACAAATCTCAGTTGGCAGACATGAGTAAGATAGGGGAGGTGGGAATGATATTTGATAATCATAGAAATGTATGGCTGCATGTTGCCCACAGTAGACTAGGGAGAGAAAATATGACTTAGTTATGTGTTGGGCCCTGGAGTCAGGTTGGCTGTTCTGCATTGCGGTTTCACTCCAGTGTGTGTTGGGCAGGCTGCATAGTTCATTGAATCTTAAATTTTCTCATCTTTTAAAATGAAGATAATGATTACCTCAGACTATTTATTATCCATTCTCACTTGAGGTGCTAGTAGTCCAGGATTGTCAAGATAGTATACATAGAGAGGATTAATTAAGGTGAGTGACAAGAAGCTTCCAGTGTAAGTACAACATACTATATTCAATAAAGGTACACAGAGTAGTTATAATTGAGAATACATAAGAGATTTTTATATCCACTTGTCCTATACCCAAAGTACAGGAAAATCCAGAATGTATAAAACTTTGATATATTACATGACTGGCAGCAGTGAACTAAAACAAGTTTTGTGAAAGGTCTTAAAATGAACTCGTGATTTATTAGAAACTTTATTTTTTAACTGTCATCGAAATTTTCTAACAGTGGAGAGAAGAATGTAATACACTTTTGTACACCTCATCCATCTCTGTGTGTATAAGACAACAGTATTTATGTAGCACATCAGGACTTAAACAGTGCAAACCACAGTACCATTATTATACCTAACAATTCACAATAATTTCTCAGTACCACCTATTATATATTTATATTTCTTCATCTATTGTCTCAAGCTTAATTTTTTTGTAATCTAATTGATTGAAACCAGAATCCAATCTGTGTCCTCATACACATTTGATGTCTTTTTTTTCACTTCTCATTTTCTGCCTGCTGTGTGCCACAGTTTGAAAATAAGCATACCTGTATTTTTACCAAAATCAAGATTACTAAATTCAGTTACATATTTGAGGTTTAGTATATATTCGACAGTGGATGGTGGCTGAAAAGTATGGTAGTTTAGAGTAATAGGAAGTACTTTGATAATGTTATGTGATCAACTTGGTATATAGTTTTTATCGTTCCATTTTGTTTTCACATCTTATGGATTTGTCAGAAATATAATCTTATATTTAGTTTTATAAAAGTTTATGATTTCAAAGTCTAAAGTAAAAGTAAGGTTATTAAACTTCAGATAATGTTAAAAATTAGAAATGAGGTTAGTGAACCAAGAATTCTGAAGTTATTCATTCATGTAATGATATTTACTCTGCAGATAATATACTCAGTCTGTTTTTATTTGGTTATATGTTACATATGATGGACTGCCTTTGTTTAAGGTTTATTATACTTAAAGGTGAAGGTGTAAGGTATCTACATTCATCTATCTCAAGAACAGTTTGGGGTAGAGTTTTATATATCTTAGGGGGAGTAGGCGACACTTTAACCACTTTGATAAAGCGCTCACTGGCTGTGAAACCTTGCCCACAGCCAGCACTCATAGTCCGCACAGATAGTTTGTGCTGTGCATTGGCAATGAATCCGTTTTCCTCTTGTGTGATGAGAATAGCTTTAAAGCACTGAAAGCTTGTTTTACTTTACAGGCAGCTTTACTTCTAATGTAAATCACAATAACATATACATATATGTTTTTATTACATTATTTTTAAGTGTTCACAATTGTATTTTGATAAATGAAAAATTAGAAAAGTCATATCATGGCTATCAGCTAAAGTCAATGCTTGCCTGTGTGCGCTCATCTGTGGCTATCGACTATAGTCCACGCTCGTACCAAAGTGGTTAATAAAGACAGTGTATAAGAAGATGAAATTATCCATCTAAGGAATGGTTAGCATGCTTGGGAAGGTGAAAAACTGATTTTTGGAGAGCTACATTTTTGACAAATGGGTTGTCTTGTTAGAAAAAAACAGAAGAACATGAACTCATGTTTGGTAGGCAGTGGTTGGCTGGGCACTCTGGAGTAGATGTTAAAAATTATATTGTGGCGCTCACGCCTGTAATCCTAGTACTCTTGGAGTGCTAAGGTGGGTAAATCGCTCAAGGTCATGAGTTCGAAACCAGCTTGAGCAAGAGTGAGACTCCATCTCTACTAAAAATAGAAAAAAATTATTTAGCCAAATAAATATATATAGAAAAACTTAGCATGGTGATGCATGCCTGTAGTCCCAGCTACTCGGGAGGCTGAGGCAGCAGGATTGCTTGAGCCCAGGAGTTTGAGGTTGCTGTGAGCTGGGCTGATGCCATGGCACTCTAGCCTCGGCGGCAGAGTGAGAGACTCTGTCTCAAAAAAAAAAAAAATTGTATTTTCCTTTGCTCTTGTATTTCTTTTTCCTTTTTTGGTGCATATGTAAAGGTTGTTCACTTAAACAGTTCATCATTCGCTTTTACTAAGATAGTTTATGCAATTATACAGCTGATCTTATTATTCATGAGGAAAATACAGATTTGCCTTTGAGGATGCCGCACTTGAACCACATTCATTCATAAATTGCTGTATATTTTTCTTTCTGTGAACTTTTTCACTCATCCCAATATATTTGCCTATGGTAATTTAATATGCATAGAACCATTCCTGGAAAGGTGACCATTATTAGTCTTTGATACTTTTTTCTTTGATAGTAACTGGGTGAGCAGTAGGTGCCCTGAGTTACCATGGTTGTGCGGAAGTGGGAGCTGAGGGTGGAGAACTTACTGTTATGTCTGGTGAACACTTTTGGTACACAACAGTATGAAGTGTAGAAAGAAATGGAAGAATAAGTCCTAGTCTTATAAAAATTGAGAAGGAAAGATGAAATATATTGTTACACATTTTTTTTTATTTATATGGTTATGCACAGTTGTAGTTGGAGATTTTATCCCCAAACAGTGCTGTCATTAAATTTTTGGTTTTTGTTTTTTCAGATATTAATCTGGCTGCAGAGCCAAAAGTGAATCGAGGAAAAGCAGGTGTGAAACGATCTGCAGCGGAGATGTACGGGTCAGTACCAGAACACCCTTCTCCGTCCCCTCTACTCAGGTCCGGAACTTTATTATTTATAACTGCATTGTGTCCATCAGTGGGCATCTTCTCTATCTGTTTTCTGGATGTGGGGGAGGGGGTAAATGTATGCTTTATCTGTGTCAAAGTAGTGCTTTATTAATTTCATGTTAATATGCCTCCCTTTCACCCTGTTTACTAGGGAATTATTAGAATCCCCGAGCTTTTTGCTATTACAGAGTAGTTTGATATTTATAGCATAAATTGAAATACTTCTAAAGGAGTTGTTTAGCTTCTGAGAAGCTGGGGAGTAAGAATGGGAAGGAGGGTGGTGTAAGAATGTTTAGTTTATCATTGTATTTCCACTGTTCTTATTTTAGCTGTGTTGTATGTTGAAATTTTATTGAACTTTCACCTGAATTTGTAATTTGGCCACTGTGTGTCTAGTGATCTAAAGGTGATTATAATTAAGTGATTGATTGTTTAAATGATTGGGGATTGTTCCATGCTAATCTTGTTGATCTGTTTGTTGTGGTTTATTTGGCATGGTTTTTTTCTCCCATCTACTGTTGTGAATTAACAACAGCTGCTCCAAATTAATCCTCTTTGGTATTTATTTTTCAGCTCCTCTTTTGACTTGGACTATGACTTTCAACGGGATTATTATGACAGGTATGTTAAAGGTGTTTTACTTTGTCTATATTAGCAAAAAGCTTAGTAAGAACCATTTTTATTTTTTGTTTTTTCAGCTGTTATGAACAGCAAACATGTAGCTCCTTCTAAATTATCAAGTATAGATGACATTTCTATTGATCATAGAATTCAAAGAATCAGTTCATACATTGTCAGGACATATGGGGACATGTCCATTATTTTCTAGGGTACTAGTTTTCACTCTCTTGAGAGCAGTCAGTTTTTGGGTTTGTATGGCAAATAAAAGTAAGGACTAGCTGGTTTACCTAATGGTGAAATGGGACTTGTTAGCTGAACTGTGTTCTTGTCATCATTTTTCTGTTAAGTACAATCATATGCTGTATATCGACGTTTCTGTTGATGACAGTTGCCATATACAATGGTGATTCCATAAGATTATACTATATTTTTACTGCATGTTTTCTCTGTTTTGGTTTGTTTTACATGTATGATTACTTACCATTGTGTAATAATTGCCTACGGTATTTAGTACAGTAATATGCCTTACAGGTTTGTAGCCTTGGAGAAATAGGGTGCACCATAAGGCCTAAGTGTATCATAGGCTATACCATCTAGGTCTAAATAGACTCTGATTGCACAGTGATGAAAGTGCCTAGAGATACATTTCTCATAATGGATCCGGATTGTTAAGGAACCCGCGACTTTGCTTGCCTATTAGCTTGGCATGGAATTGGATCACAGCTACACTATAAAAAAATGATACCTAACTTTAAAAATTCTATAGTATTTGGACATACCAGCAAATATAAAATAGAATACAGTATTTAGTCTGTGACGCATTAACAATACAAAATGCTTTAGGAGTTAATGTTTTTAAGTGTTCTATAGATTTGTGAGGGGTGGTGATACAGTTCTAAAAAGTAAAGAAGTTGTGGAATATTGTGTTTGTGCGTTGACTGAGATACGAACCCTTTATTATTTCTTGTGCATTCAGAACAGCATTAAGTCTTTTTGGGGGCAGTCATGAGAAAGATGTGTGAATAGGGCTGGGTTACAGATGTCTTGAATGATGGATTTTGAACTGATGTAGCAGTTACTAGGGAATGGAATGATACTCTAAAAAATGTTAAGTCACATCAACAGTCTTAAAACATTAGTCTTAATTAGCATTAAGGAAATGTTAGATTTACTTGTTTAACCACTTAAATTATACAGTATATGGAGCAAACTGTATGTATAGAATGCACTAAAAAGTATAAATTTTTAAAATTACAAAAAAGTATACAGTATATGGCATAGTATCACTTTACTTATATATGAAGCGTACTGCTTATCTTAGAATGCAACTGTTTCAATTGTCGTTTTTATGCTATAGTTATAACAGTTCAGTCTCTGCTTTTAAAATAAAAGTAATAAATTCCTTAATTAGGGAATGTTTCACAGAAGAGAAATATTGAACTGAGTTCATCAATCATGCAAGGGAGTTATGTCAAGGAGTTAGTGTGCCAGTAAACATCATGAGCAGACCTCAAAATGTACACATAGATATTTGAGAAATATCGTGTAGACTGTGGTAGCTAGTTATTTATTAAAAGGCTAGAAGAATAGGCTAGAAAAAACAGGATCTACATTGTGTAAAGGGCCTGGAATGCCACATTAAGATTGTGGTTTGAATCTCCTTAATGCATCATCAAAATGGTTGTTTCATTTGGCCTTAGATTTTTTTCAGATTTTTATAGTTATTTGTATTTGAACATAATATTTTGAAAACTAATAATTTTGGTACGAAAATGAAGGCAGAACTTCCAGGTAAGAATAGATCTGAGAAACTCGATCACTGGTTGAGTTACTAGAAGGTACTAAAACCCAGTGAGTTTGTCTGAAGCAGCTGCCCTTTACCCTTTTTGCACACAGGAATCACTTGACCACATTTAAAAAAGACCTGTTTTTATAACTACCTTGTAGGGATTCTGAAACTGGTCTTAGTGTAGACTCTTGCCTACTGGTATATTTTCAGTATTTCCCAAGGCATTCTTGTGTCCACTCTGGGTTGAATATTATTGATGTAAACCATGAAAAAGTGGTTTTATTTCTGTGATTTCTTATCCTATTTCTTTGTTATGGTTCCTTTCAGATGAATTTAGTATACATAATTTTTTGGTATAATTTCTGGGTTGTCATGGACTTCATAGAACTTCAGTTACGAACTTACAGAAAATTTTAGTAATGTGTAGTATCTACCTTCTTAATGAGAATAACCTTCATTAAAAAGTTTTACTTTTAGTCTTGGTGAATCAGATAAACTATATAATCTCTTACTGTAAGTAAGTTTGAAAAGAAATTGTTTTAAGTGAGGAATTCGGAAACATTGGTTGAAAAAGTGAGATGTATACTGCAGGGAATAGGTAAAGAAATTGCATGTTTGCAGACGTATCTTCAGATTTCTTACCACTGCTATTTGATCCTAAAATTTGATGGCCTCACTCAAGAGTATACTTTTAGTTGTTCTCTGATGTATTGATGTATTGCTTTGCATTATAAAGTGTCTAAAAAGTAATGTCTTTCTAGCCGGGCGCGGTGGCTCACGCCTGTAATCCCAGCACTTTGGGAGGCTGAGGCGGGCGGATCGCTCGAGGTCAGGAGTTCGAAACCACCCTGAGCAAGAGTGAGACCCCCCCCCCCCGTCTCTACTATAAAAATAGAAAGAAATTAATTGGCCATCTGATATATATAGAAAAAATTAGCCGGGCATGGTGGCGCATGCCTGTAGTCCCAGCTACTGGGGAGGCTGAGGCAGGAGGATTGCTTGAGCCCAGGAGTTTGAGGTTGCTGTGAGCAAGGCTGATGCCAGGGCACTCACTCTAGCCTGGGCAATTAAGCGAGACTCTGTCTCAAAAAAAAAAAAAAAAAAGTAATGTCTTTCTTATATTCTAACCTCGGCCAATAAAGATTCTTGATGACTAGTGGAGCAACCACGTAGTAGTAGCTGATGAAGAGCTTATTTAATTAGAGTACGATGTCTTTGTTGGGAAAGTGAATAGTTAAGAATTTTAGATGACCACTTTTTAGAAACTTAAAATACCTCAAGTTGGGTAGAGAATTCATTTTATATGTTGTATGATAAATGTCTATGAAGCAGAAAGGAGAAGAGTACATTAGGGATGAAAGTGGAAGACCCAGTAGTTTTTTTTGCTGGTGTGAGAAATGCTGGGTCAGGGAGGATCTGGGAAATATTAGGTTGGATAGAACCTGATAAAGAGTGGAAAAACTACTTAGGGAAAATAGTATTGTATCCTCTCAAAACTCATTGGAAAGAGTCTTTAACATAAGGTTCAGATATTTATCTCAATTAGTAACCCTAGGGATCCTGCATCTACTATGTTAGATTCTTTAATTTAAAAAAAAAAAAGGTGGGAAACTGGCTCTGAGATGTGTTTGAAAACAATGGGCCCCACTTTTGTAAGTGGGGGCTGATTCAATGTCCATTATATCTGAATATCCTTTACCAGGCATCCTCAAACTACGACCCTTGGGCCGCATGCAGGTGCCCGTTATTTTTTTACTTCAAAATAAGATATGTGCAGTGTGCATATAGGAATTTGTTCATAGTTTTTTTTAAACTATAGTCCGGCCCTCCAACTGTCTGAGGGACAGTGAACTGGCCTCCTGTTTAAAAATTTTGAGGACCCCTGCTTTAACCATACCCTTAAAAGCCATGAAATTATATAAGTATTGTATAATGCCATTTGATCATTAAATCCATTTCTTTTATTATCTAGCTTTCTAGGGTCTGAAATTCAGTATATTGTTGGTTTATGGTAAGAAGATAGGTGCTATGTAGCAGAAAAAAGAACAATTCAGGAATCCAAAGCCTTGTCACTTAGCCAAACAGGTTGTAAGCAGCCATTAAATAATACAATGCTGGCCGGGCTCGGTGGCTCACGCCTGTAATCCTAGCTCTCTGGGAGGCCGAGGCGGGCGGATTGCTCAAGGTCAGGAGTTCAAAACCAGCCTGAGCAAGAGCGAGACCCCGACTCTACTATAAATAGAAAGAAATTAATTGGCCAACTGATATGTATATAAAAAAAAAATTAAACGGGCATGGTGGCGCATGCCTGTAGTCCCAGCTACTCGGGAGGCTGAGGCAGAAGGATCGCTCGAGCCCAGGAGTTTGAGGTTGCTGTGAGCTAGGCTGACGCCATGGCACTCACTCTAGCCTGGACAACAAAGCGAGACTCTGTCTCAAAAAAAAAAATAAAATAAAATAATACAATGCTTAGAATGGTAATAATAATGCCTACTTAACAGAGTTGCTATGGAGACTAAAATATGAAAGATACAAATTTGCGTTGTAAATGATGCCAAAATATTAAAAGTATTTATCAAGGGTTCCCAATCATTTTAGAGCATGAGAATTTTTATTAAAATCTGTGCAAATTGGCTGAGTGGTGGCTCACCCCTCTAATCCTAGCATTCAGGGAGGCCGATGCGGGAGAATCGCTCAAGGTCAGGAGTTTGAAACCAGCCTGAGCAAGAGCAAGACCCCGTCTCTACTAAAAATAGAAATTAATTGGCCATCTAAAAATATATATAGAAAAAAATTAACCGGGCATGGTAGCGCATGCCTGTAGTCCCAGCTACTTGGGAGGCTGAGGCAAGAGGGTTGCTTGAGTCTGCGAGTTTGAGGTTGCTGTGAACTAGGCTTATGCCACAGCACTTCAGCCTGGGCAACAGAGTGAGATTCTGTCTTAAAAAAACAAAACAAAACAAAACAAAAACCTCTGTAAATTGCTTGCATGCTAAAGATACTGAAATTTACACTTCTAAATTAGTATTTTAACCTTGTTATTACTGATGTACATTGTTACTACTGCATATTTTGTCTACGCCAATACCAAAATGAAAGGGAATCATGAAAACCTCCCACTACCCCTCCCAAGTAAACATCTCTAGTATACCTAGGATTTTTTAAGTCTTACAAGTCTTCCAAACTAATACCTAGTAAAATGAGGAAAGGT